TCTGTGCTATTCTACTTGTATTAAGTTCCTTTTTGTGCCGTATTAATTTCATCCTGGCAGTATGAGTAATATCGGAGTTAGAAATTATTTATTTTTCAGGATGGGGTGTTTTCATCCCTCTGACGGCCTGACAGTGGTGCTTTATGAGCAACACGATTTTTATTGATTTTTCTTATGCTTTATAAACCAATGCTATTTGACTTGTACTTTATTATTCTGTATTAGCTACATGTCAATGGCATCATAATAATTTTTAAAGATAGGGTGTCTTGGCGCTATACTTTCTTACGTTTATGTTAAATGCGGTGTTATGCCATAAAAATTCTTTCTGACGTTATAGAGACTTTCAAAGTTTAAAATTGCGACTCACATTCAATGTTCCTGCGGACGCTCGCACCACGGACAATTCCCATGCCCCCACTTTGCTAACTACGACGCCTATGTGGACTCGGCTGTTTCCGTACAATTGAGCTGCCAATTTTGGCTGCTGTTTTCACACCGGTATCAGACTATACCTTTTTCCATCAATTCTCGTGGCAAGTTCCTTCCGGACCAAACCGATTTTTCAACTCACAGGGATATAATTGGTCTTACCACGAACAAATAAAACTAAAACTAACACACAGCCTCTATAGTATGTATAAATATTATTTTATTTGTTATTAAACCTACCATATCCTCAGTCTCTCACGCACGATTTAGAACACGGTTTGAGCGGTAATACATTTACAAATATAAAAACATCTAGAAAGTGTTTATAAACATGGGGTTAGTCCTTTGGGGTGGGGGAGGGTGAGGCGCTGGTGGGTCATGAGATCTACGAAATACACTTGGTAGACACGCTTAGTACACTGTTAATAACAGAGAGGTCGGACACTTTGAAAGAACCATGGGATTTGGTATCTGTTTCAGCTGGTTGCTGACGTAAATTTATCAAAACTGAAGGTGAATCAAAGTTTGTTTTGATCTGTTTCGAATTGTAGTGATATACAGGGGTTGCATTAAGAATGAAAGATTTTGATGGGATGAATGTGCCTCATTCAGAAATTGCTCCTTTCCAATCTAGAGAGTATAGTGGTTTAGTTTTGGTTGAACTCTAACAATATTTCCGAAAGGACTTTTTTCAAATTTCAATGTTGTCAAGTCTGTCAAGCCAACTGCAAATGACGCAGAGTGTAATATTGTCGAAATATTGACAAAATTTCTGTTTTTTAATCTTTCGCGTTGATTAGATTGAAAAGGAGCGATCGCTCTATTTTGTCTTCAAAAATCTCTTATTAAACTTTGTCTTGTTCTTAATGAAACACTATTATCAAAATTGAAGGCAAATCGAATATGTAAGTTGGTTGTACAATTTTCGGGATGTTTGCTTCAGGTTCAAAGATCCTTCTGAAGATAGGAGCGTAATCTCTCTCGAAACGTCAGGAAGTCTAAATTGATGACGTGACATCCAGTTCGGAAATTGTTCAACTTTGACAACTGCCACGGAAGCCTGTAACTAAGCTAAATTTGTAGGTTGTTTTCGACCTTCAGGTTTAATTTGTCATTTTTTGAAAAGTTTTGACATCAAATTCCATGCTTCCTTCAGGAAAGAGACAAAGAGATTAGGATCGGGTGATATTGTTTACCCACAGACCCTCTCAGTGGCCGAAGTGCAACCGCAGATCCATCCCCACTTCCGCACCGCGTCGCTGCTAATTGTAATAGCCGCGGTTCATGGCGGCGCGGTTCCTGTTATGCCATTTGCACTGGAGGATCCGCAAATACGTTCGCCTGAAACTGGCGTTGCACAGGGCGTAGCACACAGGGTTAATAGTGGAGTTTATGTAGCACAAGTAATAAAAGAAATCCCAGAGCTGCGGCGGGATGCGGGCACTCGTCGACGTCACCGGCTTCAGCAGCACCAGGATGTTGTACGGCGTCCACGTGATGATGAACGTCAGCAGGATGGCTGACAGCGTCTTGGCTGCCTTCTTGTCGGCCTTCTTCTCCTGCGTTTTCTTCTTCTTCTTTCCTTGGTTCTTGGTGGCGTTGGCGAGTAGGGTCTTGCCAGCCAACTGTTTGGGTATGATTTTGGCGTTCAGCGGGATTCGGATGTCCGTCATGGCGGAGGGCCTCCTGTTGAGGTGGTTGCTCTGGTTTTGGCTGTGGGAGTAGTCGGCCGCGTCGGTGTGGTTGCGAGGCGACACCTCGGGGATCATTTTGATGGAGGGGCCCTCGTTGCAGTTGGCGCCTTCCCCCGGCTCCCCCGGCAGTCGGATCAGGATCGTGTAGACGCTGTCGCTGGAGACCGAGCGGCCCGTCAAGCGGTTCGTCGTGGGCAGGCTGCGGGAGTCCCTGGGCGCCAGTCGCGTCGGGGTCATATTGGCCTGGTTCAATGCGTGATCGCGTTGTGTTGAGAGACTGGTTACATAGGGGTCCCTAGAAGAAAGACGAATAACGTGGTGCTAATAGTAGAGGAGTGCGTGGTAATGTGAAACCCTACTTCGATATTGGTTAGGACCTTTTTTTTAACCAGTGGATTTTGGTTTATTTATCGCTAAAAGTGATGCCATAAATTCAGGAGATGATAGAATATAATAAAGATTATTTAAAATTATGTTACACAGGGTGTTTCTGAAAAAATAAGCATTTTCAAGGAACGCAAGGAACTTATTCAAAAACACCCTGTATACAGAACAAGGAACAATATTATTTATTCCTATGAACCATGGGTCTATTGTCACTTTTGAGATATTCTGTTGAAATTTATATGTAAATATATAATTCTTTACTTACATTGATTCTGTGTCGAATTATTTGGAGATTATATGTGTCTCAGAAGCCAGTTCGTACAAATAAACTATTTCTTTGGTTGATTTTCACTTCAGTTAGGTGCTTTTTTTAGTTTTCACCACAATTTATCGTCATTTTTATTTTTGTTATTCTAAACTTCTCAAAAGCAACATAATCTTCACTGTACATTTATTTTGTTAAAAACAATTTGAAAATAACTTACAATTTTTCATTTCAAAAAACTGTTTTCCCTTGTTAGGAAAATATGGTAGGATCGTAGTACCTCTCCAACATCAAAAACTAGCAATACCAACGTAATTAGCATCCTTAAGAATATAGTTGTATAAAATTTCAATGCAATATACTGTTTTTAATAAATATAATCAAAGTTCGATTTAAAATAATTATAAAAAAAGATATAATCATTTTTATGTTCCTGACTTTATGGCACCATTGAATGAATCGATTTATTATAACATTAAAGATTTTATATTTTACTTTAAATACAGTCTCCATAAAAATTATATACCTAAAAAGTTCCATTAGAGACAAAGAACATTCTTAAAAAAAATTATAAATTGATTTTGTTAACTAAAAAGGTGAATCTTAAAGTTATTAATTATAATAATCACGGCTATAAACGTTCATAAATAAAAAATTTACGATTACTCCACAATTGGTTAATATATAGTGAATCCACAACTCTTCCTGTTTTTTATTTTTTTAGTTTTTGGTTTTGGACTTTATTTTTAAACACGTTTATCAGTTTGACATCTCGATATATCGTCCTAATATTAAATCTTTGTCCGATATGGGACCCGATCACATATTACCTAACGATCCATAATGGCTACAATACTAATCTTGAATTCGATTAAAATTCACTATTTTGAAGTAAATAAACTTGTTTTCTTCGTACATATAAGTTTTTACTATAAAAGCTCACAAACTATAAAAATTCATGAGCTGTACTTCCGAATCCATCTTTATGGCTATTAACAATAATTAATACAATTAAAAACTGTTTTACTTTCCACTTTTGAAAAAATTTACCCTGCTTTTTTATGTTAATTCATAAACAAATTTCAGAGACTGCAATAAATCTCTATACTAGAAGTTGTACCGTCCACTTAGAGACTATCTTGAAAGTTTTATTAAATTTGTCATTACTTTATATTGTGGTGGAAAATTAGGGAAGAATGGCACGATATTGATTGAAAAACGGCACCCCAAAGTCATGAACGGGTGACTATTAGTGATGATTTTGAAGATCTGATAGATTTAGTGCAAAATTTTTCCGTAAGGTATTCAAGATTGGAAAAGGAAATCTAAGAGAATGGGTGTCGACATATGCTGCACTGAAAATTGTAATCGGAAGTTGTCATTGCTTAATGAACAATCTGTGGAAGGTATCTGATAATAATCGGACTGCAAAGTTTTTTTTTTTTAATTGAAGAGTTGTACAAATGAAATGGAAAACCAACAGGTTTAAGCTGGGTTGAGTGCCAAATGATAAAGGCATTGAAGGAAATGAAAAATCAGTAATACTTAAAAAAATAAATTTGCAGTGAGTTCTATGATTAAAGTCTTTAAGAATGTATTGGAGAGATAAATGAAGAATAAATAAAGGGTAGTCTTTATAGGATAAAGATAGTTGAGAATCGAATCTGCCAGGGCTGCATCTGGAAAGAAGCTTTACTCATCCTGAGTGAGCGTGAGGTAAACCTTTCTTAAATACGATAGAGGCAACAAATCTGATGGAATAGATATATAGTGGAATAGTGAGAAGCAAAGTAGTCCAGAATTGGAAATAAATACAAACTGAGAATCAATAAAGAAATTCTTGTGAATATTTAGTTTTTGACTTTGCACTGATGATTTTTTAGAATTCTGTTTGTATAGCTAAGTAACGACAGTTGAGTTTTGAGAAAACGAATACATTTTGCTTTTGTTATATTAACTAACTATTCTGAGTCGTCCTAAAAGCGAGTTTTTTGCGTTGAAGAAACTTTAGAGAGGAGTCGCGCTTCAAAATCTAATTCTCCAATTTACATAAAACATATTTTCAATACCGTGGAATCGATATAACAGAAAAGGAAATACGATTCGTCCTACGGAAGCAAATTAGATTTATCCCGCGATTCCCCGGGAGTAAACAAACTGCGGCAAAAACCCACTCCCGAACAACTCACCTGATTACGTTGAGCGATGTGCATCTGGATACGGAGCTCTGCAGGGGGGTGTCCAGAGAGACCGGGGTGATGCAGCCCTGGCCCTGCTCGCTGGGGCTCTCCTCCTCGGTGTCGCTGTCCTCCCGGCCGGAGTGCCACCACGCCACGCACCACGCTCGTATCCGCCACACTCCCGACAGCCAGCCTCGTCTTCGTTCGGGTATGAGGATTATCTGTGCAGGGAATAAATATACACTATTTTTGTGATGAAAATATGATATCTAATGTAAGAAATGAGCAAAACATTGGGGGTACAGATATCGTAAAGAAATATATTGGAATTTTATTATTGTGGAGTGAATATTTATCATCTGGAACAACCCTCAGTCATAAATCCTGTGTCAATTTACAGTGTGCAGCCTAAGTTCCTGAATAGTAGATTTTCATGTCATCCGCATATAGTAAGTAACAAGAAAATATTATCATCATAAATGTCAAACAATAATGGACGTAAAATTCTGAGAAACCACAGATAATGCGTAATACAGGTATCGATTTAAATCCTTGACACTGAGAAAATCGTTTTCTGTCATGAAGGTATGACTTAGTAATTCATTATATGGGGAACTCTGAAAAATAGACAAAAAATGCTATAATAATTTATGACCTAAGGTAGGGCATTATTTTAGAACAGGATTATAGAATACCTTTTATAATAAAATATTTTTGGTTAATAATTTAAATTTAAATATTTTTGGAAAATTTAATAACGCAAGAGCATACAAGGTGATTCGCAACTCATCCAAAAAAATTAGGAATAGATGCCTCAAGAAAAATTAAGTCAATATCGTAAAAACATTTTTTGTAAAATGCTTAGTTACCGAGAAAAGAATTATTGAAGTTTTAGTATTTTCAACATTTACATCGCTGGGCTACTGTAGTTTCTAGCGTCATACGCCCACGTGGCCCCAGGCGATTTCGAATACCGAAATCCGATTTTATTATCGTTGTTATGATAGTGTTTACATTAGTTTTTCAATTGCTAAAAATAGCTTATGTGTATAGCAACTCGAAGTTTATGGATATCGTTTTAGTTTATGATGAAGCAAGACAACATTTGTGTTATGGTCAAGCAAGACAACATTTTTGTGTTAATTCGTAGAAACTGGGTAAGACAAAATTTTGAACAGTTGTTTTGTCATCAGGTACGTTAAATTACTTTATTAATTAAAACCACAAATTAATTTTATTAATTAATAATAACAAACAATAGCGGAAAAAGCAGTTGAATTAGCTGATATGAAATTGATGTTATTTTATTTTATTTTTTATTTCTTGGGAAAGAAATTATTTCAATTGTTTGTCCCTTCACTTTTTATTACACTTTGTCGCCGTGCCGGTCGCCGACTGCATGCTTTTCCTTGCGTAAGGTCAGGTTTTACAGTGGACCAGTTTCCAGTGCCGTGCAGAAGTGTATTTTTAAATCATTTTCGAATTGCCTTTTTTGATTTTTTTTTACAAAATTGTATTTGTAAGAGTCCTTGTACATTCAAAAAATTCTTTTTGGATACGTTCTGAATCACCCTATATACAGGGTAGCCTATCGAAAACGTACCGCAAGGCATTACAGGGTAGTAATGAACTTTTCAGCAAAATCCAAAAACAGGTAAATTTTCCTTCTGAGGGGGAAAACTTTTGGCGCAAAAAGCATAGCAAAATCTTCAACCCCCTAAGTGGGGGTGCCATCCCTCAAATTTTTTTAAATGGGAATGGGGGTTAAGTGGGGAGTCATTAGAAAGGGCTTTTAATTCTCTATACATCGATTCTTACTTTTTGAAAATCGATTTATTATTTTAGAAAATATGCAGCTTTGAAAATACGAACAATATTTTTGACGAGAAATGCGAAAATCGATTTAATTTTACTTCAAAACTTACGGTATTAGTCAAGTAAATGCTGAAAATGTTGTCCGCCAACTTGCATACAATGATACAGGTTGTCTTCAAACCGTTGTCGAACATTCTGGAGCACTTGCGGTGTTACTTCGCGACATACATTAATGATTCGTCCTCGCAGATCTTCCAAGGTATCAGGTGGAGTGCTGTAAACTTTGCTTTTAATGTGCCCCCAGAGAAAGAAATCTAAAGGATTTAAGTCGGGTGACCGAGGGGGCCACTCAATTGCACCTCTT